CGTGTGACGTCGTCGTGTCCTCTTCTGCGCATGCGGGACACTTTTGGGTCGTATGAAGTTCACACAGCAGATCACATACAAGTCGCATTGAACTGGAAACGTGAAGGAAGTCACAAAGAAATCTGAATGTAGCATTAAGTAAGATAATACGCCGTTATCCTGAGTGGTGACATTAAATGTCATGTCGGAGGCAGACTCCAAGGCTGTCGCTATGTTAAGGCTGTTTTTAATGGGTTCTGTTTGTTTTTCCTAAAAACCTGTCGGATAGCAGGTTTAGGATCGTTAAGGGTCGGATTATGGAGTCATGACTCTATCATTTGTGTAGCTAACACTAGCTTGTTCATGTTTGTCATTGAGGTCCATTGCCATCCCATAATGATTAAAGACCCATTAATGAACAGCCAGCTGGATGTTTTTTAATTACAATGAACAGGGACACCGTTGAACTTAACCCGTCCTTGTACCTTGAACACTTACAAGAGCGTCAGATCTGAGAAAAGTTCCCAACAAATGCAGGAAATTCAATTAATGTCCCCTTTTTTAACTGCTGTGTGTATCCATGACCTGTTTTTATATCTTTTATGTTGTAGACAGACTAGATAAATAAAAAAGGCATTAAGAGACGGAGTATCGCAGCGTCGCCTCGGGTGCTTTCGTTGTATTAGCCGATGATACACCCATAAGCCACAGTCATGGTTGCTATGGAGAAGAGCCCAGTTGGAGTGGGAATCATATCCGTCATGAATAGGAATGAGGAACAAAACGGCGCGCCATAATTGCCAAATTCACTGAAAAATGACCAAGAATGTGAAAATTAGCTGATTTTAGTCAATTTAATGTTTTCATCAGCATCCAAGCAAAAAACACTTAGTGATTATATTGTCTTTCTTACCAAAATGTTCCTTTTTTGTTATGCATAATGGTCGGTAATTTTGACTTTTTTTTCACTTTTACTCATGATTACACTGGAAAATGTTCGTGCCTATCCAAGCACCCAGCAGCCAGTCGCCTGAAATTATGAGCAGGAAATGAACAGTACATTTAGGTCTGGAACTCTGGGAGCTTAAAATTGCTTTCTAACCCTGATATCCCCCTGAAGAGCCAAAGACAGAAATGGCTCATACACTGCCGGACGTGCAGGATGTTAGTGAGATTGCTTCAAATGCGGCTCTAGTTAGAGATGCAGGACTATCCATCATGGTCTTCAAGATGACTGACAGTTGCTGAGGCATGAACTTGTCCACACGCAGCCCGCTTTGATCAGTGCCGGTGAAAAACGATGTTGTATTTTTAAGCTGAAATGTTATGATTCTGTCAGGTGTTGTGTTACATGCCGTGGTAGAAATTCCATACTTGTCTTGTGCAATGGAGCGGAAACTTCTGGCGTTATGAACCAGAGAAACCACTCTGGCTTTGTTGTAGTTTCTGTAAAATCTCCTCTTTCTCCCGTCCTCGTCTCCTACAGCCTCGGCTTTTGTCTCTCCTCCCACTCTTATCGCTTTCTGTTTTTCGCTGCTTCCCTGTGTCATCGTTTTATCTCTTATCCTCATCCCTTTTCACCCCACCGCTGTCACATTCAACTTTGTCCTCACTTCCTGTGCGAAAGCTGTATTTATTTGGCATGATTATTTGCAGCTATTTTGTCTTTACTTCGCCGCTATCTGTCCGTTACTTCTCTATATATTGTCCCGATATTTTCCTTATCTCCTGCCATTATTTTTTTTTCTCCTCTGTTCTCTTTCTTTACACCTTTCTACTCACTATCCCCTCTCGACTAGGTTCGTATGCTGGGCGATGCTGAAGATGTTTTCCTCCACGTTCTGCAGCGTCGAAGTTAACCTCAACCATCTGTCGGCTTTGCACAGAGCCTCGCAAGAGGTACGACCGTCTGCGGTTGCACACGTGCGTTCGTGGATAAAAATATCACCAACTTCTTTAGCGGCTGCCCCGACGGGTATCATCTTGTCCTGCAAAACGTGGCGAGTACACTTTGTATTTGCACACGGAGAGCTGTGATGTTTTGACTCGGGATGTGAAATTAGGTCTGCGCTCAGCCACCTAATGAGATGGTAAACAGCTACAGCCTTGTTTGTACACATCTGCAACAAAACATTTCAAGGTAAACAAAAAATTGCGAGGATATTTTCAGCGAGTGAAAACATCTGAATGTCTGAAGACTTGAGAAAGTTCAGGTTTCGTCCTCTTTGCCGCGTCGTACCTCATTATTTTCAGTTGTTTAGCGACGACACAACTGTAATTACATGGCTGAACAAATAAACACAAGTAAACAAGTCTGAGCCAAGCTGCTGTTTCAGGCGTTCAGAATGAATGAAAGTCTGCGATCTGTGTCTTTAGTTTTAGCCCCGATCTCACAGAAATGTAGTCTTTTAATTCCTAAGTGGAACCCAAACCACTAATAAATGTTCTCGTCGTGCTTATGGCGTGTACTGGAGTACGTCCTGTCAACTAGTTATCAGGACAGGAGTTTCTCAGGCAGCATAAGAATGACGTCCTTTCTTCTGGATGATTTTCTGCTTGTCTGAGTGCATTTTTAATATGTGAGACTGTGACAAAGTGAGTTCTCGTTTTAGTCAGAGTGTCTGTGTTGACTTTCACATGTATGGTCCACTTATCTGTGTCTTTATGTTGTAATCTGACATTTATTCCGCCTGTAAATTTTTACGCAAGCGACTTAAGCATGCTTGTGGCATTTTGTCATGACTTGCATGTATGTGAACCGTTTCCGTTATCGTCCAATGGAAAAAAATCTGTATGATAAACAGAAAATCCATCGGCTCTCTAAATGTCAGCAAAATATTAGATAATAACACTTCATCAGAAAGCGATGTTTGACTGTCGCATCGTGATGCCAAAGAAGAGAATACATACGCTGCAGAATCTGTGTGTGAGACCTCACGGTGTGTCCGATGCAAAGCAACGCTTTAAGTCCAAACCGCACCAGAGGGATATAAATCAGAGAGAGAATCAGCCACGGATGATGACGTTTGTGCGTCCCAAATCCAATGGCCTGACAAACATGATAAAGGCTGAAGTTAGGCTTTGGAACTTTATATCACAAGACAATCTGCCGAAGGCTGCAGGGGACCGTCTGACTGAACTGTTACCACACATATGTTATGGTGCCTCAGTGGTTAGCATTGTTGCCTCGCAGCTAGACGGTCGCTGGTTTGCATCCCGGTGAGAACATCCGAGATGTTTCTGCGTGGAGTTTGCATGTTCTCCTGCTGTTTATGATTTTTTTTTGCGCCATGTGTTTTCTCTTTTTTGTGTGTTTTTGGGGGCGGTGTGTCGCGTTTGGTTTATTGCAAAAACGAGGGCGTGTTTTAGTCGTTGTGGGAGTGTCACATGTGTAACAAAAATAGTGCTTTTTTATTCTGTTGAAGGTGACATTTGCATTTTGTCATTTAAGGAGCTTTGCAGAGAGTATTGTACCTAATTGACATAATTAAGTGACTTAACTGCATTTTAATTGGGGTTGGAGACAAAAAAATAAAAGATTTTGAGTCAAGTTTGGGGGCTGCCAGGTGGCTCGGTGGTTAGCATCGTTGCCTCGCAGCTAGAAGGTCACCGGTTCGTGTCCCGGTGAGGACACCCGGAATGTTTCTGCGTGGAGTCTCCATGTTGTCCCCGTGCAGCGTGGGTTCTCTCCGGGTTCTCCGGCTTCCTCCCACAGTCCAGAAACATGTTGAGGTTAATTGGTGATTCTAAATTGTCCGTAGGTGTGAATGTGAGTGTGCTTGGTTGTCTGTCTCTAAGTGTAGCCCTGTGATAGACTGGTTACCTGTCCAGGTGAACCTGTCTTCACCCTGAGTCAGCTGGGATAGACTCCAGCCCCCCATGACCCTAGTGAGGATTAAGGTGTATAGATAGTGGATGGATATATAATCGCATGAATTTAAATGGGGCAACAATCTGTATAATTTACAGGCAGTCCATAAAAGTTGACATCTCTAAACTTATCTGCCTGAATTTAACTGTTTCAATCAATTGCATGTAAAACAATGGATGAAAACTACTTCACATACCATCCATGTAACTGGCAGCCTTCGGTAAGAATCCCGGGTGTTAGACTAAGAAAACACAGTAATGATTGTGTTTGAAGAACCTCGAAGTGCTTGAGATAATTACATGTTTTTATGATTGCGAACCCTTTTTTTACAGTAGCGACCTTATGAAATGCACAACTGTGTTTTATCTCGCCTTTACTTCATTCAATATATATAATTGAGTTTGCGACAGTAGCTTATCATCGGCTGGGATAAAAGTAATCAAATGCTACTCAAAAGATAGAGGAGCACAAAGCATATAATAGAGCTGTTGTTGACCTTGAGGGGGAAAAAAAAGAAAAATTACTCGTGGCACGTGTCGAATTTTACAGTACAGCCATTTAGACACACTCCCCATGTATGTGTTTAACCTCTTCCTCAATCTTTAATCATTTAGGTGTAAAAATAATAGGACTTTAATAAGATTTGCCAGTTTTATATGATAAATGTATTTCCTCGACATTCCATTCCGCTGATAATATCTGAAGCTTGTGGGGCCTGATCACGGTCCAGATTAAATCACTCTAACACTTGCCTGATCCGTGCATCATCTCTGCACAGGTTCACGCCTGTTTGCCGTAATAAACGACAACGTGAGGAATTTTGTTTATGTGAATCTGCTTGTGTTTTGTAATTCAGGGATCTCCGCTGGTTTACGTGCATGTGCGTCAGAGCGCCGCGGACTGCGCTCTCATCCCTCTCGTGCTCTTCTGTCACAACCTGAGAGTGCCGTACACTGTTTATCCTCTCCAGATGAACAGCTCCTCCCTAAGGTACGCTCACACACAGCCACGTAGACGCTGCCAAGCAGGTCGAACTGCAGCAACGACGAGCGCAGACACCTTCGTTGCCAGTAATCACATCCTGAATTTATCACTTTTACTCACAGCGCCGTATTTAGGCCGGGCGGTTTATTTTAAACACAGGGAAAATGTGCACAGTCACTCCCGAGTCTCTTAAATTAGGCCACTGATGCCTGAGCGACACTCTCCTCTATTTATTCTCCAGATCAATCCTGCAGAAGGTCGGTGTCGTCCTCCTGCCGCCTTCTGCTCTGACTGAGCAAGATGCTGAGATGGACGCTCTGTACTCACCTGTCGTGACCTCTGTAAGTCTCATGTTTTTGAAGATTGGAAGGTTAAGAAGGGGCAGGATGTGGAAGTTTCAGGTATTTGCGGTGATTGCTGTGCTTTGATGTCCTTTACCCTAACCCCAGCTGATCGCAGCAGATGGCCTGCTTCTGCCGGAGGTTTTTCCTTCCTGTTAGACGGGAGTTTTTTTTTTCTCCCCACTGTTGCCGAGTGTTTGCTCAAAGGGAGTCCAGAGGAAACTTTGGATTTGTTGTGTTTCTCTGTATAATTTCCTTACAATGGGAAGTGCCGTGAGACATTTGTTGTGAGTTTTCGCTACGTACGTACAATTGAAATTGAATTAAATTCAAATAACTTCTGCAAGATGTCGCTGATTGCTTGAGTTGAGACGTACTCACTAATCACTGAAGTCATTCCAGTGATTCTCAGACACAGCTGTCTTATTAGGCACATATATGAGTTTGTGCTCAGCCTCTGATAGGTTCAATTTTGACAGGGAAGTGTATTAAAGTGCTCCACGGGTGGTCTGTGATCTCTGTTCATGGTTCTGTCTCCGTTTTACATGAATCAGCTGGGCAGATCTGTCTCTCTCAAGCTACATACATGAATAGAAAACACTGATAAACAGTCAAATACATCAGAAAGAAATACAATATAAAAGCTTTCTTTATCGATGTGTCAGATATTCAGACTGTCAGGGCAGCAACATGTGTACAGATGTTATGTTGAGAATCCTCCCATCCCCCACCGTGACGCTAAACACTCCAAGAATTAAATCAGTCTAACATTAATGTGCAATATGCTAGAAATATATATCGCAGGCAGTTTATGATGTGTAATCTGAAAGTATTCAGCCCCTCTGACTGATAAATATCACCATCAGCTGCACAGCATGTGTTCCGTTTACAGAATAAACCTTCAAAATTACACAAACAGAATATCTCCAATTCAACTTAGATGAAATTTTTCTGTCAAACATGATGCTGTTGAGTCAACATCTAAACCAATCAGCTATTAGATCAGGTGCGAGTCCTACATCACCGTAACAGGTTAGGATCAAGGTGAACAGAGATCTGACTTTCACTGTATGTTAACATGCTACTGTCGAGTAAAACTTTTGACTTGAAGGTGTTTGTCGACGAAAAGTCTTTGAGTTTGAAGTGATCAGAGTTTAGCCTCAGGTGGGGAAGCATGACTGTCTGTCCCACATTTGCACACACAGCAATCTGTTCTGTAGTTGTTGAGACATTTGATGCAAAGCAATTGTTAACGTCACGGTGGCACGAGACAAAAAACATCAAATGCCTGTCGAGATATTAAAATTTGCACCAAAACGTTGAACCGACTGATGGACCAACGCTGCTATTCTGTAAATCACTGCCCAAACTTGACTCCATCCATCCATCAATCCTCTCTACACCTTCATCCTCACTAGGGTCGTGGGGGGCTGGAGTCTATCCCAGCTGACTCAGGGTGAAGGCAGGTTCACCTGGACAGGTAACCAGTCTATCACAGGGCTACACTTAGAGACAGACAACCAAGCACACTCACATTCACACCTACGGACAATTTACAATCACCAATTAACCTCAACATGTTTCTGGACTGTGTGGGAGGAAGCCGGAGAACCCGGAGAGAACCCACGCTGCACGGGGAGAACATGGAGACTCCATGCAGAAGGATCCGGGATGTCCTCACCGGGACGCGAACCGGCGACCTTCTAGCTGCGAGGCAACGATGGTCACCAGTGATCCACCTTGCAGCCCCCAAACTTGACTCAAAATCTTTTATTTTTTGTCTCCAACCCCAATTAAAATTTTGTTAAGTCACTTAATTGTGTCAATTAGGTACAATACTCTCTGCAAAGCTCCTTAAATGACAAAATGCAAATGTCACCTTCAACAGGAAAAAAAAGCCATATTCATGTGACATGAGCCACTTCCTCACCGACAATAAAACGCCCTCATGGTTGCATTAAACCAAACACGAGCCGCCGGGCTGTGAATCAGACAGAATGTAGCTAATGCATTTTGCTTAAAAAAATCCTAAACAGCAGGTAATTATATGAAATTGCAGGGTAAGCAAAAGCTACCTATCGTTGTAATTTGGCTTTTTAGCGTAGGTGCATTCGGTTCAATTCATACTCACTCGCATAGAGACACTTTTCATTGCACTCCACGGTGAAGTGTTATCACAGTCGGCTTCTCAATCAGAATGCAACCTGTCTTTTCCTCCCTCTCGCTCATCCCCAGCCTCATCCCGCTTTCTATTCATTCTCAAAATTACCAAGGGGTTCGAGTTTTGCCACAGAGATTGCAGCTTTGGAGTTGGCTGGAGTGACAAAGCAATGAGCAGAGGGTTGGGAAGCGAGAAGAATGGTGGTTAGTTTGATTGTGTGCACTTGGCAGCTCTGAGCAGGTTGTTTCTCTTTTATTGGAAGGTAGTTTGTGTGTTTTTTTCCTCCCTTTATTTTGGAGATTTTTGTGGTCTGTATTTTTTTTTTCCCATCCTCTTTCTCTTCTCTTGCATCTATTAAAGTTCTTGTTTTATACCCTTTATCAAAGTGCCTCTATTTATTTTTATCAGTGATCAGCACCTGTTCATCATCAGCGTGTTTGTGTATTTTTATGTAGAAGGAAGCTATTTGTGTTTTATATCAGTTGGCCTAAAGACGTATTTCATTTGGAGAAGTTACGGGCTTCTTTGAGATCAATCCTGCATTATACTGCTCAATAAAACAGCTGAATTAATATAGAAGATTAGAGCCACGGTGGAACAAAACAAGGTTGTTTATGAGGGACTACTTTTTGGTTGTTTCATGTGGCTTAGCAAACTGGCTTCGTACAGGAAAGCAGGCTGACTTATGGGTTGTATATCAGTGCTTATAGGCCTTTATTGAGTGTAGTCTTGCTTAGTTGTTGTTCAGCGGTAATTAAATTTTCCTCGTCTGGAAGGGGGAAACAGGACTTGGGGCAAAGGAAGTTTCTGAATGTCATAAAGTGTCCCCTACAGCCTCGCTTTGTTTCTGCTTTTCATCCTGCCAGCTTCATGAATTTTGACTTGTCCTCTCTCGGCTGCCCTCCACGCGCTCTTTTCCTGCCCATTTGTGCTCCCTCCAAGGTCTGGTTTGCTATATTGCTTATGTATATTTTAAAAATGCATGGGAGGCACTTTATGTTAATTGCTCCCCCACTGCCAGGAGTGTTCAGACCTTTGGCTTTGCCGTCTTTCTCTCTCCTCATTCCTCTTCCCTCCCTCCTCAGCTTGTACGTGAGCTGCTACATGAGGGCCAGGCCATGAGCGTCGGCGTGTCGTCGGAGTCGGGCCAGGGAGGCCAGTGGCTGGCTCGCATCATCCAGCTCATCAAAGAGAGATCTGTCCCCGATGTCAGTCTGGTCCCCGTGGGCATCTCCTACGACTGTGTGCCCAAGACCGACGTACAGGTGGATGCGTGTAACCACACACTTGCAAGCACACACTTAACAAAGCCATCTGTAACTGTAATGTCCTCAGGAGCAGCTGAACAGATTTACTCCAGAACAGAAGTTTTTCACCTGTGAGAGGAGAGATGAAATGTGAGGCAGAGATACTGCACGAGGTGAAAAGAACAGGTGCATGTCAGCGTTCTAACAAAAAATAATAGGTTAGTTATCGGGGCTTGATTAGTTGATTTGATCTGCTAATCAACGTGGTCAACAGTCGGAGCAGCAGCTGGTTCTGTGTCCTAAAGCTCATCGAGGCAATTAAGGTATGTTGAAGGTCCCATATTGTGCACCCTTTTCAGCAAATTAATGAAAGTCTTGCATGTCCACAGGAAGTTTTTCAGCATTCGTGCTGCAAAGATGTTTTATTTCACCACATTTGTATAACCTCAGGTTTTCTCTCTGTTCTAAATGGACTGTTTCAGTGTCGTCTATGGCTTTAAATGCAGCTGAGTTACTGCTGTCCGCACCCCCGTAGGGGTGTCTGTGATTGACAAAGTGCAGCAAAACAGTTGACTGTATGGCGGCTGACACGAGTGTGACTGACTGTGTGAGACCAGTACATCGTAACACTCGCTCTGATTGATCAAAATATCACCGAGTCCACGGCACGACTGCTGAGTTTGTCAGACAACATTAGAAAGTCAGTACTGTAGGAGTGGAATGGCTCTGAAGTGACTGCTGGCTAATATGTGGTCCTAATGGGACGTAGCAGTTCAGTCACTGTTCCAGACACGTTCTATGTGTGACAAGAGACACAGAAGAATATGTGAATGTGAACAGCTTTTTGGGGAATTAAGTTGTATTAAAGAGAGCAGAAAGAAAGAAGCCAACAAACGTGATCACACTGAACCGTACCAGCAGACACAGTAATTCACACAGTCCTGGTTTAATGGCTTTAAATCAGTTTCCACCATCTTGAACTGTAACAGTAGCGTTAGCCACATTAGCCCAAAGACTAACACTGGACACTCAGGATTTTCCTATTGCTGCCGTTTCCATCCGTAGCACCAGTATTCTACTGGGTCTTCAGTTCCTCAGATGCTGTCGGTGCATGCAGACTTTTGTGTTCACTCTTGTAGCCAACAGCAGGACATTTGTTGTCCTTTGCTTGTGACTGAGACATTTTAGAGTTCAGCAGAAGCAGCTCTGGGAAATAAATCAACCTGGTGTACTGAGAGGCAGCTGCTCATTGTGAACGGCTCCAAAGTCATAAGAGCGCACAAAAAACAAAGAGAACAGATTTTTTACTGGACCTTCAGTACACACGGTTATATTTTGAGTCAGATCTGAACACAAAGGTATGATTCACACATGATTGTAGATTCAGCGTGTCTAACACTTCCAGATTAACGCCATAGTCTGTCGCCTATACACATTCATGCATCTGCTTAGAAATCACAGGAAAACACGTCCAGAATTTGCTTGAAAATCACCATATTTTTCGTCTTCCTTCCGTATCTCACTAATCCAGTCATTGTATCCGGTGATAGCTGTCTGTGCATCCATGGATGATCTGCAAACAAGACCTGCCAATAGATAATTAGCATACTTTTAATGGTGCCAGTTTGCTCAAATGTAACCAAATGTAGTCCAAAAAAAAAAACAAGTGGACCGCATAACTCACTGAATGCAAAGCAGCACTACTCTATCCAAAAGGAGCTGCAGTTTCACAACTAAGAGAATGATTGTCCACCAAACAGTAGAAAAAGAATACCGAGTCCATTAATATTAACTTATTTCACACTGACTATCAATGTTTCTGACACGGCTGAGACTCACAGGATCAGCGGTAGCTGCACAGTTTTCCGTTTTGCTCTGAGGGGAGGCTGACAGTGTCAAAGGCTCGGTCTAGAGGAAAAACAAAATTGCCAGTGATGATCCTGCTTTGAGAGCCTTTCACAGATTTGCTCTAATTTCTCACTGCCCAGCATTGGTTGATTAGTTGAGGTCTACATTTCATTTTTTTTTTTTTCCTCCCAGGCAGCAGCGATGTCTATTAGTCTCCATTAATCTTGCCCTCTGTTGTCTGCACTTTGACGCGATGCTGGAGAGTGGGTGTTGCTGTCGGTTAATTGTGATAATCAGGTCCTCGCCCCATTATTTTGTTCTGTCATTCAGACACAGTGCTGTACACAGAGTTCTCACACACACACACACACACACACTCCGAGACTGGCTGTTTATCTTAGTGCTCGTCATAGATCCTGCTCATTAGTGGTATTGCTGTTGGAATGTCCCTCCTAAAGGCGAAGACCTCATTATGATATAATGGCTAACTCGCTGCCTGTAGCACTCCTGCCAATGTGTGTGTGTGTGTGTTTTACATATCCTCACAGGTTGGCTTGAGGTCCGTGTTGCAGTGGATGGTGTCCTTTCTCTGGCGAAGACCAAAAGGATGTGTGAGGATCCACTTTGCCAAGCCCTTTTCTCTTAAGGTGCACCATATTCAGAAAGATCTGCTTGTTATTCACACCGGTTCCCAAACTTTGTTGGCTTGTGACCTTAAAATCGGAGCAGCGTTCTTTGCGACACCTCATCACCGGTCTTAGATATTACTGTGAACAGGAACTTTAAGCAATTTAATTTCCCTTTTGAGATGGAAAGACAAAAGACGGAACAAAAAAAAGTCTTGTTTTTAACGTAAAAGGATAACACTTCATTGCCTTGTGGGGTGCTCGCAAACAATAGACCTTATTATACATCACGCTGACATTCAAAGGTAGATTAACTTAATTTGCTGCCACAAATGAGTGTTGAAATGGTTGTTTTGTTTTAACTTTGTCTTCACTCGAGACTTGTTATTGTCAATGTGACAAATCGGCACACCGCAAACTACAGAATCCAAAAAATGATTGCAAGTTGTGCCTCATAGCTTCCCTGGAAGTCGGATCGATAGTAAATTTGTTATTGCATTAGTTTCAGCGAGGTGCGTCTAATAAACTGGAAACTTGTAAATTGCCGTTAATAATGGAGAAACGAACTGCAGCCAAAACAAAAAGATGGAATTAATAAGAGACACTTTGTGTAATCTTCTAAACTCAGTTAACTAGAACATCAGCATTTAATGATCCAAAGATGCCGATTTCCAGCTCTTTGACTTCTTTGAATGTGCCTGTGTGTGTGTGTGTGTAATTGATCCTCTTGGCGTTTGTGTGTAGGAGATGTGCGAGTCCGGGAGGTGTAGAGTAGACGAATGGCTCCCTCTTCAGGACCTGTTGCTTCCTGTAATCCTCAACAACAGGTAATCAGACCACCTGAGCGCGCACCTGCACGCACGGCCGGCTGCTGATACTGTACGTGAACAAACAACAATGGGATTTGGATTTGAATTGTGCGTTTTATCAAACATCTGTGAAATTGAAAAGTTTCCTTTCCTCTTAAACTTTGCAATACTTTGCTCTAAACCTTAAATCTGGCACAGTTGTGATGCAAGCTCTGATGAGAGTTTTCATCCTCTTAGACTCGGTCCAATTACCATCAACATTACACAGTCTGCCAGTGAAAAAGATAACAGAAAGAAAATAACATCCTCGCTCAATCTCTGCTTGGCTTCCGACGAGCAAAGTGGCTTCTCCCTTCATATGTTTAATTCTTCTGAGAGAGAGAAGGAGGGAGGGAGGGTTGGGGGGGAAAAACAACAGCCCGAGTGAAAGAGATGGCAAGTGATAGATGACGAGGGGTAGTTAGATTGGATTGTTATCAGCATGTGAGCGGTTTTAGTTCTCTGTGCATGTCTACATTATAAACATGCTCCAGTGCTTACAGTGTGTCTCTGCTGTGCTTTCTCCTTCTGTTTGTCCCTGGCAGCTGAGGTTTATAAAGTACACAGTGAATGTGTGGGCTGCTGCTGCACTGAAAACCAAGCGCACAGATATTATCTCTGCCACAACATTAAAACCAGCTGCCTAGTGTTGCGTAAGTCCCATCAGAGCATGGACACAGGACCTCTGGAGGGGGTCTCCTGTGGCGTCTGGGTCCTTGGTGTTGGATCCTTTGGGCCGCTTTGGATTGTGCTTACCTTTGGGAAAACTGGATCAGATGGAGACGCTGGAGCGAGCGAGCCATTCCTGAGCAGTATTTGTAGTGGACAGCACACATTGTACCGCAGTAGGAGGCTGCTGATGCTTTGCAGGCAGCAGTGTTTAGGTGGGTGGTACATGTCAAGGTAGCATCCACAGGAATTGTCAGGACTCAAGGTTTCCTCGCAGAACATTGCATTGTGACGAGATTGTCAATGTCCTTCACTACACATAGAAGTGGTTTTAATGTTGTGGCTGAGGAACCCACGCTTTATTCAGCTTATTGACTATTTGTTGAAATGAATAATGTTTAATGTCTGTAAATCTTGTGTGTTCACAAAGCCAGATTCCTCACGTTGTCTTTGCATGTCTTTGGCTCACTCACGCAGAGCTAAAATGCTCAAATAATACTCGTATCACGCCAGAATAGCCTCAGATACGCAACTACAAAATCCTTCACACACACCCCAGTGTTTGAGTGATACACCTGCACCTCACATGCATTCAAGCGTAACTCCTTTCATACGCAGAAACACAGCTACTGTGGCAGAAAACTTTCTCAGAGTATTCTTGAAATATTGCTTTTTTTCAGTGATCTGATCATTACTGAAAAAAATCCATGTAATATAATTAAACAATTTAGATTAAACCATTTAGCTTTTCTGTCAGTCGGGGCAAATAATACTTAAACTGCTTCCCATGATTTGTTATGCAAGTCCCCAGACAATCTATGCAAGATGCTGCAACACATCCCGATGGCTGAAGGCCAACAGTGGGTCTTTTCACCAGTTGCATTATTCTTCAGATATAATCCCTATAATCGTTGAGATCTCGGTCCTGGTTGATGACAGCTGTGGTTGCCGTGGTAACAGCAAGTGTGGGTTAGCAAACGCTCGTCGAAAAGTTGCTTTGTTAGAAATACAACAGAAGAGCAACGGCTGCATCTGTTTAGGCTGTAAACACGCAATGTTTTCACCCAGAGGTCTGCTTACAATAGCTTAGTAAATTACTCCCTGCAATATTTAAAACATACAGTCGTGACTCGATAATCCGACCCTTAACAATCCAGAACCT